TTGGAATTTAAACTTCATCTTAAGCTAGTTGGGGGAAGCTTGGCTTGAAGATGACTTATTTCGGAACTAAGCAATGTTATTGAGGTAAATTAATTGTAATATCTACTGCATATTCTTAAGTATACCTGTTCAATAGCTTCAGTATCTCTACCATTTACTAATTCTATTTTGTACCTCCACTAATCTGTATGCTTTAGATAAATAGTTTATAATTTGTATTCAAAGATGGATATTTTGAGGGTGTCGGATTGGTGAAGGATGCTCTCTTTGTGTGGATAGCTTTGTTGGATAGTATTTTTGCCAATACAAAGTCTGGGTCACAAGGTTAACATATTTTATTTGTCTTTGCTTATGAAGAACTTTTGTGGATTTTTCGACCCATTGCATGATTGGTGGCCTTTGTGATTCCTTGTCCCTATGTTATGTGATATTGAGATTATTGATCACATATGTAACTTTTTTGGTGTCGTGAGCATTAGAGTGTTTGGCATTTGATGTTGTCTTAATATGTATATCAAGTCCTTTTCACAAGAAGGGTTTGAGTCGCCTTTGAAAGGAAATCCAAGGGTCTGTTTGGTTTGCGTTTCAAAAACTAATATCTGAAAACAGTTTTTGAGAAGAGTTTTAAGAAAGTGGTTTTGATATTTTTTTGAGATAAAAAATTTGTTTGGTTAGATGATTTCAAAAATAATTTTACAATACAGAAAATAGTAAAACCTGTTTGGACAGTCTAAATATATATTTGAACAGTAATTCAAACATTAATAAAAAAATATAAAAATGTTATTTTTATGTTGACAATTTCATAATATATATATATATATATATAAATATGTTTTTATTATAATATTTTTTATAACATATTTTGTTATAATATCTATTATATATTATATATTATAATATATTATATATTATGAGAGAGAGGAAGAAGTAAAAAAAAAAGAAATTTGCTGCTAAGGAGACTCGAAGGGCAGACCTCATTAAAGTCTAAAATTGTTCTCTTTGTTTTGAAAATTATTAAAGTCTAAAATTGTTCTCTTTGTTTTCAAAATTTTCAAAGAAAATAACCTAAACTTGTTTTCTGTTTTTTTGACTCAAATCTCATTTTTTCTCAAAATTTTGAGAACAAAAATACTAAACAAACAAGTTTTGGGTGTTTTTGAAATTTTGAGAACAAAAAACAGTTTCCGGAAAGCTAACCAAACATGACCCAAATTTTCTTTACTTTTTGAAAAGGGTTAGATCATTTATATGTATAGTTAGTGGAGGAGCCAAGGAGAGCAGGGTTATTCAATGGTGGCTGAGGTGATTGATGTTTGTTGGTCTTTGTTATCTTGGTTTTTATGTTTTCATGTGTTCATTTTTCTTGGGTAAATATGAGTGACACCCTTTGTATTTAGTCATAAGTACGAGGACACCCTTTTGATTTTCTGGCATATCACAGCTTTGCCACCTAAGAATTGTGGAAGTGACATGGAGCTAACCAGGCTGCACAGTCATGTTCTTATTCTGAGTTTTACATAGGTTTGAATCAGTATTTGTCATACTCTGGACTCTCATCTTCCTTTTTGATTTCTTCTGGTGGAATGTATCTCTTGCTTATGACTTGTATAATATTGCATGACTTGTTTGCTTATGATGCCTATTAAGTCTTATCTTCCTTTAGATTTTTAAGTCCCTTCTGGAGGCAGGAATCAAAGCTGGCATTTATCATGGTCAAATGGCCAGTAAAGCTCGCGAGGAATCACACAGGTTTTCTGACTTTTATTTCATCATTTTCAGGAGCAGTTTTATTGAAAGAAATTAAAGTGATTTATATGTACTGCAAATATGATTTTATTGTTGTATAACCTTCTAATTTAGATTATTTGTTCTTTAGGGTTTGTGTCTTTTAACCCTTTGAATGCCTCTTGTTCCATCTTTTTCAATTGCTCCCCACCTCCCAGTTGAATGGCCATAGTCATTGCAAGTGCTATTGATCTCCCACTTGTTGCAGATCATTTATAAGAGATGAACTCCAGGTCATGGTTGCAACTATCGCATTTGGCATGGGTATTGATAAACCAAACATAAGGCACATTATACATTACGGCTGCCCAAAGAGTTTAGAGTCTTATTACCAGGAAAGCGGTCGATGCGGGCGAGATGGTATTGCTTCCACCTGCTGGCTTTATTATACAAGAAGTGACTTTGGAAAGGCTGAATTCTACTGTGGAGAAGCACACTCGGTTTGTTAACTTACTTTTTGCAATAGATCTTGCAATATTCATGTAATGGAAAACTCTTTTTTTTTGGTTTTCATCATCCATTCTGTTCTTTTTTTTTCTTTAATATCACCAGTTATTCAGTTTAGCTATTGTATTGTGCGAGATATTAGACTTCTAATTTGCCTTGCTGTTTTGGGTCTCGTTCAACAGGCAAGCCAAAAAAGAGCTATTATGGAGTCCCTTATGGCTGCACAACACTATTGCATGCTGACAACTTGTAGAAGGAAATTTTTACTGGAATACTTTGGGGAAATATGTTCATCTGATAAGTGTGGTTTGTATATTACTGGAATCACTTTCCTGTATATCATCTCAAATATGCCAATAATCTTATATTGCTTAGATGCAACTAAATGTAATTGTTCTATAATACTTGTTTATGTATTGAATTATGGACAAGTTAAAAGGCTTACCAGTTTGTTCTAGTCAATGGAGATTGGGACAATGGGTTTTCTTTTGAGGCCTTTTCACATCTACAAGGAATCATATCTATTTAGGTGCCTTTATAACCTTAAAGGATGATTGCATTTATCAAACTATAATTATAGGCTAAATATTTGTTCGCTTAAATTTTAGTTTGTCCAGTTTTGGACTTTGTGAGCTAGATAGATTGGTCATTCTGTGGTGACATACTGACAGAATTTCCAGTGGCTTATGATCTAGCGAGTGTGGGTTAGTGGGAAATTCTGAAAATCCAAGATGATATAGGTGAAACTTTAACAGTTAAATTCAAAAAAGAATATCTTTCCTATGGTATGACAGGTATTGTTGTTGGGAGAAATTTTTTTTGTTCAGGTTTGGCTATTGTTAAGTTACCGATTGTATTTGCATGTGATGCTGGTGTGAAGTTGTATATTGCCAGTAAAGGATGCTGCTCTGGTTTTTGCGTTTGGGCTGTTCAATTGGAGATTTCATCTGAAAGGAAGAGGAAGAAGCAGCGGGATTGTAATTTTTTGGCCTCATTACACTATGGGGTCTAGCATTTTGGATGTGCATGGGAAATGATGCTTACACAGTTTTTGTGTTAATTACAGCATTTGATATGTTGCTGACCTTGTGGGTGACTTTTAATGCTGTTCTAGTGTTGCTGGATGGTATCTAAGATGTATAGTAAGCTCTAAATGTCCTTGTGGTGTGATTTTATGCTAATGACACAATAATTATACTTGGAGTACTATGTTTGGTGATGATATCTTATAATGCATGGTTGTAGTGGGGAGAGAATCTAAGGGATCTAGCTGACCATGTACTCAGACTGGGTTGTTCATTTACGGTACAAATTAGCCAATTGGAGCTCATTTTTGGGAATTGATTTCTTTCTTTGGAACTCACTACAGAACCAAGTGGCCAAAGCAGGAGCACAAGTGGCTGCTCGCTTGCTTCTGGTGTCACCTTATGTGGAGCAGCAAAAGNAAACCAAGTGGCTGCTCGCTTGCTTCTGGTGTCACCTTATGTGGAGCAGCAAAAGTAGCCGTACCAACAGCCATTCCCTTTGATATTGAAAGAGCATGTCCTGGTGCACAATGTGAAATGGGTAGNGAACCAAGTGGCCAAAGCAGGAGCACAAGTGGCTGCTCGCTTGCTTCTGGTGTCACCTTATGTGGAGCAGCAAAAGTAGCCGTACCAAGCCATTCCCTTTGATATTGAAAGAGCATGTCCTGGTGCACAATGTGAAATGGGTAGGACTTTGATAGGGTGTCATGCTTAGGTACCCAGAACAACATTGGAACTAGGACACAGAGTTGGCTTGTCAATACATGTGTAATTGGCAGGATGAGGATATCAGATAGTTTTACATTTAAAGGCATTCGGACCAAGGAGGGATATTGACATGCTTGTAATGGATAGAGGAATATGGTTGGATTTTCGAAGAAGATGTGCTCCCACAATTAATTAGTAAGCTAGCAGACCTTATGGAATGCAAAAATGGAAAAAGAGATTTCCTGTTCTATGGCTTTCTGGGTGACAACTAGTTGCAGTGGCCTGAAGATGTGCTGCAATACTGTAATGCAGAGGTCAGAAATTGTGTATGCTTCCAATAACAATCACAACTTAATAATTATCATTGACATAACGGAAAATGTCCCTGAAGTCTTCTCTTTGGACAAATCCCATGCAGTCATGGTTGACCGACTCACCTCCAAGATTAATGAAATTATGTTGTAACACGAAGGTACATAATTGTAGAAATTCATGGAGATTCTCTATGGCTCAATATTTGTAAGTCACAGTAGTAAGTAAATCCCTCGAAACAAAGATTGATTCTGCGCATATTAAACATTATTAAAAACCATAAATATGCCCCTAGAAGTGACCAAAAGTCATGCTCATGCTGTGATCTGGGTCCTTAATATGTGCACTAACAAAGGGAAACCTTAGGGATTTATATGGACTGAAAAAATTTGATAATGATTTACTATTTTAGATGCACGTGTAGACTTATTTTTTTTTAGAAGCTCAGCTAATCAAATCAATAAATGGTCAGAAAGACCAGAATGATTGATTTTGACCTGACTTATGGCCTTAAAAATTTCTCACAATTCTATATATTAAATATTTTGCTATTTGTTGTAATGATTTTCAGGATTGCCTAAATTCTGAGTCCCACAGTTGAGGAGAGAATATATTTCTTGTAATAGTTGCCTTATTAACTTGGATATATCTGTAGTTCATTGATATTCCATTTTTGCAGGAAACTGCGATAATTGCACTAGCTCAAAGGAAGAGGTTGACATGTCTAGAGAAGCATTTCTTTTGATGGCTTGCATTCAATCATGTGGTGGTCCTTGGGGCCTCAAGATGCCTATAGACGTTCTCCGTGGATCTCGAGTAAGCTTTTAGATATAAATTACATTCTGTTTTATGTGTCAAATAGGTGTTGATGCAGTTGCATACCCATGATACAATTTTAAATTGTTAGTATTGATCTGAACATTCAAACAGGCGGAATTGGATTATCTTGGCTGAAGTGGCTTTCTCTTTGCTTTTTTATTCCTTGTTCTCTTCTTTCTCTAGTTGTTGCCCTGTAAACATTTTTCAACCCTTTGGTGTTTTGCTAGTCTTCAACATTGTCAATGCTTAATTGCATGTTTCTGTTCCGTTGAGATTAATGTGCGAAGAGAGAGTTTAGTTCTAGAGGAGTGATGCCTTCTCTTCCCTATGGATTGAATTTCAGCCACCGGGAAGAGTACTTCAGAATTCTAGTTCTCGAAAACGACTAATATACAAAGAAAAAGGGTAAGATGTTTCTACAAGAAGAAAGATTTAGAATAGCACTTCTCCTTTATCCCCAAAAGCAGAATGTGTAAAGCATAGGAGGAAGTGAAGGAGCTCCCTCCTTATGATCCTACTGCTTTTGCGGCTGCTGCAGTTAGCATAAGTCTGAGTACTATGACTCTTTAAATGTGAATAATTATTCTGAATGTGTACATAGAGAAATGGTTAAGGTTTTTTGGGTGCTGAATTGTACAAATTACACCAATGATTAGGTCAAGGAAGGTTATCTTGTTTTTTATGGGACTCTAATTTGTGTGGCTTGCTATATATTATATCTAGAAACAGCTAGGGATAAGCTTCTCGTTAAGTTGCAGCTTCTCGTGTAATAGGCTGTTCAAGGTACATCTAGGCAATAGTTCTGTGTTTTTTTCCTTTTGAACAAAATCTACTGTATGCTAACTTTTACAGTACTATAAAGATCTCCATGAGATGCCTGGATGATTTAACATTGCTTTTTTTGGGGGTGGTGGTTTGGTTGGTTCTCCATTGTTGAAACATCTAGTGTTTCAAACCTGTCCTTCTAGAGGAAATTCATATTGATCAGTGACAACCTGATGTTGCACAAGAAATTGTTGCACTACTTTTGATAAGGTTACTTGGTCTGCAGATGAAGCTCATAACCAAGTTTCTCCCTCTCTCGTAATTTTTCCATTTCTTCAGTTAATGAATGTCTCACAATCTTTGGTGAATGCTCAGTTGCTCATACATTCTTTTCTTTGATGACTATAGTCCAAAAAAATTCTCAATGCCCAGTTTGACAAGCTTTCGTTGCATGGCTTGGGGAAAGAGTTATCATCTGATTGGTGGAAAGCACTAGCTTACCAATTAATATCTCAAGGTATGCAAAGAACATATTGGAGTACTTTTTGTTGCCATCCACGTTTGTAGTTTTGCTTTTTTTTTTTTTTTTTGCCAATATAGGCCAAAAATCTGTTCAGGGGGATGGCCTCAGCACAAAAACACAATTGCAAGCCTTTGGCTGTCTTAGATTCCTTGTCATTCAAGAAAAATGTCTTGGTTGGGGAACTGAATTTCATGATTTTGTTTCATTCCATCAACTAGAAGCTCTGATGAAAGGGAGGCTTTAGCTGTTGGAGTTGGAAGAACTAAGATAAGAGAATGGCAGAATACCACGTGTCTCTTTTTAAGAAAAATATTGTATGCAAAGATATTCATTTCAATACTGATATAAATAGTATCCTTGAATGTGAAAATAGATACTTTTAAACTGACTTCCTGCCAAATATCCCACTGGCTAACGAGTGAAGTGAAAAGTAAACCTTGTCACCTTTTACTCAAGATGCATGCAAGTTGATTTCTGTAATGTACCTAAGAATTACAAGCCATAGCCTGTATTTAATTTCATGTAGATTTAATTTTTGTTTACGTTAGTGTTTGGTTCTGTCAATCAGATGCGGAGTCATAAATTTAATCTAGGGTGGGCCCTTAACTACGAGCAGTGATTTATTCATCCCGATCAGTAAAATTAAGCTGTTACAGTTATATATATTTAAAGAGGCGAATCGTAGAAATATAGAGGCTAATTACTGGCTCATCTAACCAATTTTATGTTTACCTTAAGGATATAAAACAAAAAAGTCACAGATATGCAAATCAAGTTCATCGCAGAAACGTCTAACACAATAATAAGACATCAAGCACGCAACAAACCAATGGGAACTCCTATTCTATAAAAAGAACCATTGAAGCAAAAAATAAGCTAAACAACTACAAAATTCTTGGGTACAAGAGCTGAGACTTATCTAAAAAATCATGGGTAGAGTTGCTGTCAATTGATCGGATTTCAAATAAATGCCAGCTACATCTAGTCAAAGTATTGCACTGTTGCTGAAGAGTAACACAATTGCCAATCACATGTTCTTTTCTCTTGGTTGCTCTCTCAATCTTTAGGTCCTTCCCTCGATTTCGTCAGTTGAGAATAATCTCATTAAACAAAGACACTTATATGTTGAGTTTTTAAGTCAAAATGCTTTGAAATTTCATGTTATGACCATGATTGTTCCACATTCTTACAAAATGACATTGTAAACAGTGTTTTATCTATAATAACAGAAGGATCTAGTAATTCTTGATACTTATAAACAGGCCGCAATGTGTCCAAAATTTGTCTATACCTATTCGAGCAGTGTCTGTAATATGTCCATAGCCATTTAGACAGGTNCGCAAAGAACATATTGGAGTACTTTTTGTTGCCATCCACGTTTGTAGTTTTGCTTTTTTTTTTTTTTTTTGCCAATATAGGCCAAAAATCTGTTCAGGGGGATGGCCTCAGCACAAAAACACAATNTGCAAAGAACATATTATTGGAGTACTTTTTGTTGCCATCCACGTTTGTAGTTTTGCTTTTTTTTTTTTTTTTTTTGCCAATATAGGCCAAAAATCTGTTCAGGGGGATGGCCTCAGCACAAAAACACAATTGCAAGCCTTTGGCTGTCTTAGATTCCTTGTCATTCAAGAAAAATGTCTTGGTTGGGGAACTGAATTTCATGATTTTGTTTCATTCCATCAACTAGAAGCTCTGATGAAAGGGAGGCTTTAGCTGTTGGAGTTGGAAGAACTAAGATAAGAGAATGGCAGAATACCACGTGTCTCTTTTTAAGAAAAATATTGTATGCAAAGATATTCATTTCAATACTGATATAAATAGTATCCTTGAATGTGAAAATAGATACTTTTAAACTGACTTCCTGCCAAATATCCCACTGGCTAACGAGTGAAGTGAAAAGTAAACCTTGTCACCTTTTACTCAAGATGCATGCAAGTTGATTTCTGTAATGTACCTAAGAATTACAAGCCATAGCCTGTATTTAATTTCATGTAGATTTAATTTTTGTTTACGTTAGTGTTTGGTTCTGTCAATCAGATGCGGAGTCATAAATTTAATCTAGGGTGGGCCCTTAACTACGAGCAGTGATTTATTCATCCCGATCAGTAAAATTAAGCTGTTACAGTTATATATATTTAAAGAGGCGAATCGTAGAAATATAGAGGCTAATTACTGGCTCATCTAACCAATTTTATGTTTAACTTAAGGATATAAAACAAAAAAGTCACAGATATGCAAATCAAGTTCATCGCAGAAACGTCTAACACAATAATAAGACATCAAACACGCAACAAACCAATGGGAACTCCTATTCTATAAAAAGAACCATTGAAGCAAAAAATAAGCTAAACAACTACAAAATTCTTGGGTACAAGAGCTGAGACTTATCTAAAAAATCATGGGTAGAGTTGCTGTCAATTGATCGGATTTCAAATAAATGCCAGCTACATCTAGTCAAAGTATTGCACTGTTGCTGAAGAGTAACACAATTGCCAATCACATGTTCTTTTCTCTTAGTTGCTCTCTCAATCTTTAGGTCCTTCCCTCGATTTCGTCAGTTGAGAATAATCTCATTAAACAAAGACACTTATATGTTGAGTTTTTAAGTCAAAATGCTTTGAAATTTCATGTTATGACCATGATTGTTCCACATTCTTACAAAATGACATTGTAAACAGTGTTTTATCTATAATAACAGAAGGATCTAGTAATTCTTGATACTTATAAACAGGCCGCAATGTGTCCAAAATTTGTCTATACCTATTCGAGCAGTGTCTGTAATATGTCCATAGCCATTTAGACAGGTTTATACAAAAGTGATAGGGTATACACTATACAATATATTTGAGAAATGTTAAAGGCGTGTGTGTGTGTATGGAAACCACCCAGGACCAAGGGTGGCTCCACCCATGCATGGCATGTTGTATTTGTGTTGTGAGCTATATTAATAGTTGCTTGGTTATATCACAGTATAATCTTTTAGGTTCCTTGCTGACAAAACCAACTTCCTTCAGCAAGGTCCTTATCCAGATTAACTCACTAACCCCATGTGCCATTGGCTTGTGCACTTGAATTGGTGGATTTATATTTCTTTTGCTATCACTTTATGGTTTGGTGATTGGCATTGTTTCTTTCTTTTTGGGACTCCATAAATTTTGGTTAATTTTTGCTTTAATTGAAATTTATCAGGCTCACGTTATCTTCGTCGTATTCATCCATACCTGTTTGCAACATTTATGGTGACTCAGGCAGTTTCTCAGCTGAATTTCCAATCTAGTGCAGGTTATTTGTTCGAGAAAGTTAGCGAGATATATAAAACTGTCAGGTACATTACTGTACCTATGTTTCTAGTTATGAAGTTGAAGCATGTTCCCCCTTTCCTCGTCCATGTGACTTTCTTATAACAGCAAGTCTGTCTTNTTTCTTTTGCTATCACTTTATGGTTTGGTGATTGGCATTGTTTCTTTCTTTTTGGGACTCCATAAATTTTGGTTTATTTTTGCTTTAATTGAAATTTATCAGGCTCACGTTATCTTCGTCGTATTCATCCATACCTGTTTGCAACATTTATGGTGACTCAGGCAGTTTCTCAGCTGAATTTCCAATCTAGTGCAGGTTATTTGTTCGAGAAAGTTAGCGAGATATATAAAACTGTCAGGTACATTACTGTACCTATGTTTCTAGTTATGAAGTTGAAGCATGTTCCCCCTTTCCTCGTCCATGTGACTTTCTTATAACAGCAAGTCTGTCTTTGATTTTATGGAAGCATTTCTTTTGTAGCCAATAAGGTACTCTACTGGTGGAGCCTAGATTTAGAATGATAAATTGTTTATGTTTCCAAACGTCAGTGTCAGTTCAAAAGGATTGCAGTTTCTGAGTTCTTGTAGACCCGATCATCAACCTCCATTAATTCTGCGGATGNAGAATGATAAATTGTTTATGTTTCCAAACGTCAGTGTCAGTTCAAAAGGGTTGCAGTTTCTGAGTTCTTGTAGACCCGATCATCAACCTCCATTAATTCTGCGGATGACTGGGGAAATGGTTGATCATGAGGAACATAAAAACAGACCAAGTGAAGTCAGCGAGTTCAATGGTTTGGCTCCTCTGCAATATGAGGGATTGTCACAGGTAGTTATATTTAGTGTGCCAAAGAAAAATGTAAAGTGCATTGTTAAGTGCCATTTTTCTTTCTTTTATGTGTTTGGTATCTTTGTGATTTTATGTCTGTCGAGGGAGAACCTTGTCAAGTGAAAGCATTTTTACATTTTGGCTTCCTATATATTTTTTCATTTCACACACCCTCAAACTTTCCCTTTTCTTTCTCTTTTTTCTTTTGTTTTTGTTGGAAGTTAACATTTCGAAATTAAAATGAAGGAGCCTTATAATTGCTTGGTGATACATTGTGCCAACTTTGATGATTATACTTGTTTCACATGCTTGCCATGCATTTCTTCTGTGCATTTATCGACTAATTCCAACTTCAGGCTGAGGCAGAACTCTATAAAATGCTGTTAGAAAAGAGAATGAAGTTTGCAAGAGCTGCTGGAACCGCTCCGTAAGTTTTTGTTCTTTTGTCAACATTTCCGACATATTCTTTCTTCTGTCTGCTAAATGCTTTTAACATTGCAGATATGCTATATGTGGTGATCAAACATTGAAAAAGATAGCATTGGCAAGGCCATCTACTAAAGCAAGGCTAGCAAACATCGATGGTGTGAACCAGGTATACCATTTTGACCGAGGTGTCCCTCCAATTTTGTTTTTTGTACCTTTATTGGGGTCACCTTGTATGTTTGGTAGTTTAAACTCTCCTTTTTTTCCTACCCATTTGAATTTAAGTATTTAAGTAGTTCAATAATGTTGCTATGTTACTCACACAGAAAGTCATTGGCTATACTTGCTATGCCAGGGTGCTAAATAAATTACATGCACCATGCTGCCATGCACTCAAACTGCCCGTTTTACTACTTTCAAAGGCAATTGATCGTTTTCTGATTACTTCTTTTCTCTACCTGATAAAATCAAAGAAAGAGAATTAATGTTTCTCCATTCAATCACTGGGGGCTTGGCACCATTTGATTTTTAACCTGAATTCAGCTGCAGAGATGTGATCTATTAACATATATTATGCTAAATCATCTATTACATTTGCATTTAAGAAGTATATGCAAATTTACCTTTTTTATACAGGGTGAAGATTGAAGTAAATAATTTAGAAAACATTTTATGGAGAATAGTCCCAGAAACACTTGTTCACCATGAATAGTCCGATCATTACTCTTGTTTATTGCACTGGTTCATTGTTTGGTTTCAGGGTTTTCTCAAGTTCTGGATTAGGAAAATTTCCAAGTAAGCTTTTATGTTTGTGTATTTTTCGTGTTTCAATATCTAAAAACTGAAATTCCATGGTGTTGCAGCACCTAATGACAATGTACGGGGATCTTTTTCTTCAAAGTATTCAACATCTATCTCGGGGGCTGAACCTTTCTTTGGACGGGGAGACAAGCATACAGCCCGCTATCACAAAAAGGATTTATACAGTACCAAACCACCAGACAAAATTAACTCCGGCAAAATTTGAAGCTTGGAAAATGTGGCAAGAGGATGGCCTCTCAATTCAGAAGATTGCTGTGAGTCCTATTTAGTGGCTACTGCTGCTTTATCTGCTTAAAACACATTTCTTAACTGCATGTGTATTTCCTATTCATAGTAAGCTTTATATTTGTGTCTTGTAGAGCTTCCCCAGTAGATCAGTTCCCATAAAAGAAGAAACTGTAATCAACTATCTCCTCGAAGCTGCCCGAGAGGGATGTGTAATTAATTGGACCAGGTTCTGTGAGGGGATCGGCCTCACCCAAGATGTGGTCAACAGTATTCAGACTGCTGTATCAAAAGTTGGCTCAAAAGACAAGTTGAAGCCTATCAAAAATGAATTGCCAGAAGAGGTTAGCTATATGAATTACGCTAGGTATCTCCAACTATACGTGAGCCTATGGTTATGGTAGGTCTTACATGCCATAAGTCTCATGTTTTAGATCACGGAGACTAAGATTCCAGTGCCCTTTGTTCACAAGAATGCTGAAAACTTTACTTAATAATACCAGATAAGTTATGTCCATATCAAGGCATATTTGACAATGGATGATTTGGGGCTGTCAGCAGAAGGAGTTCAATCCTGCCACCAGCCTAGCTGTAAAGCTAATGAAAATTCTGAAGAGATGTCAGAACTATCACAAACATCCTATTTGCCATCTCACGTCAGACCTTGTGACGTTGAAAGACTAGTAAATACTGCAGCCTGTCATTATTCTTCAGATGATGGTGAAGGAGCAGTCCCAGTTCCCCTTGTGTTGTTCACAAGCTCAAAGCAAGCCCCAATCTTTACTGATGATCTTCATGATGGAAAACGCCAAAAAGTTGATGCAACAGGAGAAGAGAATCCTGTTGCACTGGAGGCAACAGAGAGTTCCATATTAAACTGGATTAAGAAATTTGATCATGGGGTGAGTAGTTGACCATGCAATATCAAACAAAAGCACAATGGGTTTTGTTTTCTTTTCTGTTCCCTATGAAGTAGAAAAGTTAAAATGGATGATGCTAATGTAAATTATATGCAGGTCTCTCTATCTGATATTTTCAAGCACTTCAAAGGATCCACCAAAGAGTCTATAGTTGATCTGCTGAGCTGCCTTGAAAGTGAGTTTTTGATATTTAAAAAAAATAACTTGTATATGCTTATGTGATTTAGTGCTGCAAAGTTTGCAGACTGGGTTTTTTGTTTAGGAATCCTTTGCCATCTGATTGGTCTTCCCTATTTTATTGTGTGTGAATCAGCAGCGCCTCTAGACGTGTGGTTGGTTGAAAACTTGTGAATATAGAACAAATCTAAAACTGTTATGTCGCCTTATGACATGTTGGCATGAACTGGTTGAAGATTGTGGGTTTCACTCTGGGAGTTAGCATGATTTGAGCAGAAACCAATCCATCCGGTTGAATGTGTAGCCATATCAATGCCTTATCCTAGATGGTTGTACTATGTTATATCAAGTCCTGCCAATTCCCTCTATACTGAACAGGTCTTGCCAGTGGCAGTGTGCTCCATCCATGCTTTTGTTTTCTTTCTAGTAAGTAGTTATGTCATCTTCCCAGACACTGCATACAGATTCTCACTCGTTCGACCTTGTTTCTATATTGTTCTTTGGTTGTAACATCAATGGATGATTCAAGGTAATGACTGATTAGAAGTTAAACCCAAAGATATCCAGGACCCCCCCTGCCCTCCTTACTTTTTTCTAACGAGGAACTTCTCCAAGTTAGCAAATTATAGGTATCAGTTAAATTCGAAAGAACGGGGTTGATTGCTTGAAGTCCGGATCTACGGTTCGTGCTCTTTCCTTCTGGTACACAAGTTGTAATAATCTGCTAACAAAAATTTTATCTTTTCAATATTATAAAAATTTCTCTTTAGTAATGCTTTTTAGTTTAAGTTATTTATAACTATTACTGGAAAATTAAATAAAATTGAACAAATAGATTACACCTGTTATTTTTTTTTTCCAAAAAAAAAATATGCAAGACGGAAAAATAACGTTTCTTTGTGGCAATGTACCCTCTACTATCAATTCAAAACAACTAAATCTCTTCTTGTGCTTTATTTATTGAGAGAAAATATGTTTGGTTGTATTTTAAAAAATAGTATTTAAAAATTATTTTTAAGAAGAGTTTTAGAAAATTAAGGGTCTGTTTGGTTTAGTTTTTAAAAACAATTTTTGGTTTTCCAAACTCTAAAAACAAAGATGTTTGTTTAGGTTTTTTGTTCTCCAATTTTTTGAAAATTTTGGGAATTGAGATGTGATTTAAAAGAACAACATTTTGTTTTTTTTTGAAGTAAAATGAAAACGCGAAAAATAGACCATCTCCAAATTAATGAGGTCTTCACTTTGAGTCTTCTTAGTAACAAAAAACACTATCTAGTATAAAATATATTTTTTTGGCCTTTCTGTCTCTTAGACTCTCTCCACTTCGGCGACGAAATCAGATGCACACATCTTTGGCGAAATGGTTCTCTCTGGTGATTGAAGATCTTCTTCGTCGATCAAAGATCTTCTTCGTCAATTGAAGATTCTCTGATGACTGAGATCTTCAGATCAATGATTTTTTTTTAGATTTGAGTATTTTTTTTAAATCTGGGTCTTCTTTGGTAAAAGGGTTTTTTGGCAAATGGGTTCATCATCTTCTCCATTGACTGAGAGCTCTTTGACGTGTACTAGAGGTTGTGTATGTTTGATCTTGGATGGATCTTGAATTTTGGGTTTTGGATTTGTGTTCGTCTTGTTCGTCGTGTACCATTTCAGTCGATGGCTACTTCGGTTACCAGTTCAGTCAATGGCCACCAATTCAATCGATGGCTACCAATTCAGTCGATGAGTTCGTTTATTTCGGTGAAGCTCTAATCATGCAGTTCAATCAATGACTAGAAATTTTATTTTATTTTTTTTGTATTTTATCAAGTTTATTATATTAATATTAAAATATTACAGGTCCTCAATTTGCATCTCTTGTCATGTGCATGTCCAAATAGGTTTTCTATTTTTTTGCTCTGCACAATTGTTTTTGAAAATATATAACCAAACAAGTTCTTTGTCACAAAAATCATCAAAACCAGTTTTCAGAATTTTTTCCTAAAAACAATAAACAATTTTTGGATACTATTTTCGAAGACGCAAACCAAATAAGAGATTGGGGTGGTGTTTGGTTTGTGTCTAAATACCAATTTTTTGTTTTTAAAACACAATTTTGTGAGATGCTGTTTGGTTAGCAATTTCCAAAAATAAATATTCAAAAAAAGTGAGAAATGAGATGTTCTTTGAGTTTTCAAATTAAAATAGAAAATAAGGGAAACAATCACTCTTTTAATGAGATCCACCCATCGAATTTTCTTAGCAACAACACATTTTTTTCGATGAAGTATAAAAGCCCTCCAGTCAACTCCATCTGCTCTCTCTGCAACAATCTCTGTCTCTTTGCAATGATCTTTGTCTCTTTGCAAGGATCTGTTTCTCTCTGTGCAACAATCTGAAATGCTCTCTCTCTCACTCTCACTCTGTGCAACGATCGTTGTGTTGCTTCAACAGAGCAACGATTGTTGTGCTGCTTCAATGATCGTTGTGTCTTTATTTTTATTTTTTGTGTTTTTTGTATCACAAAATTTGTTTAGTTATATGATTTTAAAAATAATTCTATGTAATAAAAAATTCTAAAACTTATTTAAACAGTAACGCAAAAAACAGTAAAAATAAAAATGTGGTAATGATGGTGTGGTGGATGTGGGTAGTGGATGTCATTGTGGTGTGATAGACGTCGTGGTGGTGTGATAGGCGGTGATGGTTGTGGTGGTGGTGGTGGAAGTATGATGGTGGTGTTTTCTAAATTCTGAAAAAGTTGTTATTGAAAATTAATAGAATAATTTTAACTTACTAGTCATTGTCCGTGCCTGAAGGCACTATGTTACTTATAAAATTTCAACACACAAAGATAGGATGTTTGAATAATTTCAACATATAGTGATTAGATTGGTTTTGAATATTTTTTGTTGGTGCAATTGATATCTTATTTTTTTTGTATTGGTCACTTATTTCTTTTTAATTACTGATTAACTTGGGTTTTGAATTTTTTTANAAAGGGTTTTTTGGCAAATGGGTTCATCATCTTCTCCATTGACTGAGAGCTCTTTGACGTGTACTAGAGGTTGTGTATGTTTGATCTTGGATGGATCTTGAATTTTGGGTTTTGGATTTGTGTTCGTCTTGTTCGTCGTGTACCATTTCAGTCGATGGCTACTTCGGTTACCAGTTCAGTCAATGGCCACCAATTCAATCGATGGCTACCAATTCAGTCGATGAGTTCGTTTATTTCGGTGAAGCTCTAATCATGCAGTTCAATCAATGACTAGAAATTTTATTTTATTTTTTTTGTATTTTATCAAGTTTATTATATTAATATTAAAATATTACAGGTCCTCAATTTGCATCTCTTGTCATGTGCATGTCCAAATAGGTTTTCTATTTTTTTGCTCTGCACAATTGTTTTTGAAAATATATAACCAAACAAGTTCTTTGTCACAAAAATCATCAAAACCAGTTTTCAGAATTTTTTCCTAAAAACAATAAACAATTTTTGGATACTATTTTCGAAGACGCAAACCAAATAAGAGATTGGGGTGGTGTTTGGTTTGTGTCTAAATACCAATTTTTTGTTTTTAAAACACAATTTTGTGAGATGCTGTTTGGTTAGCAATTTCCAAAAATAAATATTCAAAAAAAGTGAGAAATGAGATGTTCTTTGAGTTTTCAAATTAAAATAGAAAATAAGGGAAACAATCACTCTTTTAATGAGATCCACCCATCGAATTTTCTTAGCAACAACACATTTTTTTCGATGAAGTATAAAAGCCCTCCAGTCAACTCCATCTGCTCTCTCTGCAACAATCTCTGTCTCTTTGCAATGATCTTTGTCTCTTTGCAAGGATCTGTTTCTCTCTGTGCAACAATCTGAAATGCTCTCTCTCTCACTCTCACTCTGTGCAACGATCGTTGTGTTGCTTCAACAGAGCAACGATTGTTGTGCTGCTTCAATGATCGTTGTGTCTTTATTTTTATTTTTTGTGTTTTTTGTATCACAAAATTTGTTTAGTTATATGATTTTAAAAATAATTCTATGTAATAAAAAATTCTAAAACTTATTTAAACAGTAACGCAAAAAACAGTAAAAATAAAAATGTGGTAATGATGGTGTGGTGGATGTGGGTAGTGGATGTCATTGTGGTGTGATAGACGTCGTGGTGGTGTGATAGGCGGTGATGGTTGTGGTGGTGGTGGTGGAAGTATGATGGTGGTGTTTTCTAAATTCTGAAAAAGTTGTTATTGAAAATTAATAGAATAATTTTAACTTACTAGTCATTGTCCGTGCCTGAAGGCACTATGTTACTTATAAAATTTCAACACACAAAGATAGGATGTTTGAATAATTTCAACATATAGTGATTAGATTGGTTTTGAATATTTTTTGTTGGTGCAATTGATATCTTATTTTTTTTGTATTGGTCACTTATTTCTTTTTAATTACTGATTAACTTGGGTTTTGAATTTTTTTAAATTTTTTGAGAACTATAAGTTTTCATACAGTAGTGATTTATTTTTGGTATGAATAATAACTTGATATTTTATTTATGAATTATAAAGACAATTTAAACTTCTTTGATTGATAAGAAGTAAGAAGTAAACATCAATCATCAATATTAAGATGTGTGATAAGAAGATCTACTTATAGTATAAATTAGAAATTAAACAAAATCAACATAAATCAAGATTCAAAAAATACACTTTTAACATATAATATTTAGATCATTTGATTTAAAATAAATTCAATTTGAGTTGTTATTGTGCTTTTTCAAATTTAAANACAAACAATACACTTTTAACATATAATATTTAGATCATTCGATTTAAAATAAATTCAATTTGAGTTGTTATTGTGCTTTTTCAAATTTAAAATAGAGACATATGAGAGATAGGAGTGTAGAGTCTTACGATAAAAGACTTTTTCATGGGTGAGAAAAGAAATTTAGAATTAACTGTAGACCGTTAGATCAAAAATTTTGAGATGATTTGAACCGTCTTTTATGTTGGGATTATGTTGTCCGTTGGATGTGTTTATATTTTGTCTTAAAACAATTTGAATCTCTCTTTGTCTTTTGAATTCAAATTTCGTTCTACTTTATTATATAAATTCTTTAAATTTACTTAGTTTTTAAATCTCAGTTTTCAAAAAATAACTCATCAAATAATTTTTCTTTTAGAAATTGTTTTTGTCAAAAAATAATTTTTAAGATGCAAATTAAACATTACTTTAACCTTTCCATTCCATGTGCTCTCTTTTTAGTATTTCCTCTTTATGACTTTTTTTTTNTCCAGTCAACTCCATCTGCTCTCTCTGCAACAATCTCTGTCTCTTTGCAATGATCTTTGTCTCTTTGCAAGGATCTGTTTCTCTCTGTGCAACAATCTGAAATGCTCTCTCTCTNTCTTAAATTCATTGGTGTCACGAAG